TGAGCATGGGCTGCCCTAGGAGAACATTGAACTAACATGCTCACTTTGAGGAAGTGCGTACTTGTCATTGGTGATGACACAACATGCCCCATCTCTGGCCCAGCCCCCTTACCACTGGGCTGCTGTGATTAAAAAATGCCAATGTCAAATTTTTTTTCCAAGCCCAGCCCTGGACAGATGCTACTACTGCCTGTAAATTTGCTAAAATTGTAATTAACCCTGTTTTGAAATAGTGCAGGAAGTTTCAATGAGCCATATTATTCCTACAATCAGGGAGGAGATGTGAATTTTACTGTCAACATTTCATTAGCATTCCAGAGATTGACAAAGATTGCTATAGCAGTTTTATTTAAGTAATGCCGTCAGGGCCCTTGCAAATCCCTTTAAGAAAGGTATTTGTCAATGTATATCTTTCTGTTTTGTCACACCTACTGCATACCTACTAACTTTCCCTATTTAGATGGGACAGTACACATTTTTGGCCCAAATCCCTGTGACCCTCTTTTTATCCTAATATCCCTCTTTTTTGGAGTTCCATAATATTAATGTGTCTGAGTGTACAACAGATATAAAAGGCAATAATATGGTAATTTGCCTATGAACTACAATAAATGCTTTTATATATATATATACGTCTGCATAAATAAGATGCATTATTTTTGTTTTAAATAGCGTGTTTTAGTTTCAGAAATTGTTTTTATTAAGTCAGCTAAAATTTCTCAGAACAGGACTGCCCCTGGCCACATCGTTAAAATTAAACTGTTCCTCTTTGCCTATTACTGTATGTGAAAAACATGGCATTTTCACTTTAATAACATTTCAGACCCTGTGTAGATAAAGGACCTTGTATACTGTCTAAAGCATGGCTGGACTTAGGGCTTAAGGCACACTGTGCGAAAAATCTTCACAGTGTCCCTCATTCAATACTTCTTACCATTTAAAACCTCCCATTCTTATTAACCCCAAAACAAAGAGAATAAAGGAACACCGTAGCATTAGGAATACATATCTGTGTTCCTAATGCTACAGTGCCCCGTATCTATTCTTTTTCAGGTTACCCTACCCATGGAGCTGCTTACCTCTCCAAATCCTGCAATGTCAAGAATGCATAGAGGAGCATTGAGGACTTAATGTGCATGTGTGAGCATGCATACATTTAAACTTTGCTATAGGAAAATATCTTCTTATAATATATATTTCTCTTCTTCTACAGAAAGCTTTAAATTCATGCTTGCCTATGGGGCTTCCCAATCACGATGCCTCTTTATACTGACAGCCACTAAAGATGGACTTAACTCTATTATGTAAACATTGTAGTTTCTCAAAAACTGTAATGTTTTATATTGCAGGGGTAAGAGGACAGGGACATTGCACCCAGACCACTTTAATGCGATGAAGTGGTCTGGGTGCCTATCGTGTCCCTTTAAACTTGTTAATGCAATATCTAACTATATAAAACAATAATTGTCAAGCTAATACACTAACACATTAAGGTGTAGAAATACAGTCCTGAAAAATAAAATGTCAGGATGCCATGTAATGCAAACCTTATTTTCAAGTGGTGCAGGATAAGGGGCATAAATTGTTCATGGAGCAGACGCTGAGAGAAACTGGGACAGAATAGGGAACTGAAGGGGTTAAGCAGCAGAAGCATGCATTAACTGGAACAGGATTAGGGCAGAATGGGTTACGTGGGGCAGGAGCATGGAATAATGGGACAGTATATGGTGCTGATAGGGTTAAAAGGTCTTAAGCAGGTAGTAACCTGGACAGACAAAATAGCTTAAAAAGGTCAATGGGGTGACACAGGGAGTAACTGGAGCAGCATAGAGTAGCTGATTGGGTTAAGGGATGACATAGGAACTAACTGGGACAGGATGGGGGGCAGAGAGCAAATGGGGCAGGATAGTGGACTGATGAAGCAGGGAGTTCCCTAATCTGTATTTTGCACTTCATTCACACATTGACAGTGCCATGCCATACAAAAACACACCTGCATTCACACACATTGACTCTCTATACACATCCGCCCCTTTATGCACATCAACCCTCCACACATACATCCCTGTATTCGCACACACCGTCTCTCCACATACATATACCCTGCATTCAAACACATTGACCTGCCACACACATTCAACCCTGTATGCTATTACACTGATCCCCCACATATGCCTCTGTTTTCATGCACACGGATTCTCCACACATATGATCCTGTGTTCACAGGCACAAACTACATACAAATATGAACAAACACACACACACACTCTGAAGCTGTGGATATATCTGAAAAAATAGAAGGGCATTTCAGGTGGCTCATAACTTTTCACATCTAGCTAGTAACTCAAGATGCATGTTTTTGTTTTTTGCAATCTTTATTTTTACAGTGCAAAGTGATAACTACAAGCTTTGTAAAGACATTTCAATAAGAGAAACCACACTAATAAACGGTACAAGATGCCACATAAGATATCGCATATACTGTAGATAGTTTATAAAAAGAAAAAAAAAGTAGAAAGAATGCAAAGCATATAGCTCTGATTATCAAGGTTTGTAAGCCATAGTTTACTAATTGGAAACAGCTACATACCTAAGAATGTATGCATAATAATACACACTAGACTATAATAAGAAAACACAAAGTAGCGTTGGTGCCACTGGGCACTAGTCAGAACAGACACATAACGCAACAAAAGACCCTGTACAATATAACAGGATGGTAGCTATAATTAAAACAGGATCTCTACCATTGAGGATTAAGCCAATGCAACAAGTAAGCCTCAATAGACAATCTTTCTCCAAGCCAGTCATGCTGCCACCTCACACAGTCCCGCAATAACAGTCAGGTGTCATGTATGTGAGCAATGCAAGGTCTGCTGAATTCGGAGGCTTAACACCCCTGTGCCAAAGCCATATGGGGACACGGTAACCGCATTCCCACATCGAAGGAGCGTCCAGCCCCGCATGGCATGAACACGGACCCTAAGATGCTCCGGCTTTCAAAGAGTCTTCCAAGAATTTGGGCGGCAAGGTCAAAGCACCTCCGGATGGACTCCCATACCAGGGTAGGATCTGCGAACCGGTGCTTCATCCTAATGCTCAAGTTTAGCAGGTATAGTGTGGAAGGGACGTGTGTGTTGTATGGGCCTCCAGAACGCCTTGCACCTCCCCCCACTCCTACATAGAAAGGGTTAAAAAAAATCTTTTAACACTTAACCAATTCCAGCACCAATGTCCCACAGCGCTGAGTTGGCTCCCGTATCTGACAGGAAGAGGCTGAGTGCCGAGGGTGCATTAGGCCCTCCCAATAGGAAAGCATTGCTTGAATGCTTTCCTATAGGGATTTGTACTGACAGTGTCACCAATGATACTCAACTCACGTTAAATTGATAAAATGTACCTGCCTGACAGGGCCAGTCCGTCCATTGACCGCACTGGAGCCACGGCATTTCACTCTGACAGGGATGGCATTTCACTTTAAAATCTAGGAATTGCAGAAGGTAAGTTCAACCAATAGATGGCTGTGCACCAAATTAAATCCCTATAATAGTCAAGATACAGTGTTCAGGCTGTCCTGGTCTGGGTTGACTGACTGAGTCTCTTTGTGACCATACAAAGCCCCTTCACATAATAAGGAATCTTTTCACATGTTCTCAGTAACATAAACCTAAAGGCAGCAGGATCAATCTTGTGTCGTAGTGCCCTCTCATCTTCCATTACATGTGCAGGGAGTGATGGGGCAATTAAATCAATTGGGGCCACTGCGAGGAACTAGAGACAATATCCTTACCCTATAAAAAGTAGGTGGAAGTGGAGAAAGCAACTGAATGGGGATCCCCAGTACCAGACATAATCCGTAGATTCACCGGCTAACACTGAGAACCTTATATAAAGTAGGTGCTATCCATGTTTGAGTAAAACATACCTTTTATTGAGATGGTTTAAAAAAAAAAAAAAGACAATAAAAGTGGACATAGTGGCTCACAACGTAAAAAAACATATCCCAGGAATATCCCAAAATCCTGCTGAGATTTATAATCACATTCCCTAACGGTCAGTTAACTCCAGTACCCACTTTTAATAGGGGAGGGAATACAGGGATTACACGAGTAATTGGTTAAAACACAGGGAAATGGTCAGGTGTCCTATTCCAACATCCAGGGCCTGTGGCTCATTACTTGCTAAAGTTAAACAAATATGAAGGACCAAGACATTTATTTCACAGATTTAATTTACTTTTTTTAATCAAGGAAGATAGCCTTCCCCTTCCTAATAATAAACAATGGTAAAGTAGCTGAGGAACTATGTATACTGTCAATGGCTGGAGGACTGAAGACTCCTGACTTGTAATATATATGGATAAGAAATGACTGGCCAGGTTGATTGGCATTACCTGGGGATGTTTGAGTCAATGAGCTTGTAAACCCATGGGCTCAGCAATGAACAAAAAAAATAAAAAAAAATAATCGGTAATGAAAAAAACAACTGATTTTTCTTTTTTTTGTATACCTTGGTGGGTAAACATATGCTATACTTGTTTTATACATTTATTGTTGTAATTCATGGCATTATATTATTTATTGGCTCATAAAATATTTTACCAGGGTGGATACATTGACATTTCGCTCGTTTTCAAGTATGTCCTGGGTCCACAAATCATTGTGTTGTTACATTAGGTACAATAAAATACAAAAACACTATTAATACACAATAAATACAAATGTTATATATAGTTATATAGAAATTATATGAGATCTTTACATATCTATTATCTATAAAAGTAAGTGATTTATTTTTTTTGTTTAATGTATTCTTAGTATCTAGAATATCAAACATATTTCTAATATAAGAATGAGGTTTCTTGAAGTGATCACTGTCTGGGACACAGACAGTCGTGTAGCAAGTACTACCTCTGACAGTCTGCTTTGGGTGTTCCAGACAATGTGTTCTCCTCCTCCTCCTCCTCCTCCCTGCCATACCCCCACCCACTGCACAGCAGAGCTGCATGAGCACTCCCTCCCCCATAAGGCACACACATCAGCAGCTCTGCTCATCCAGGGAGCCACATAGCCCAGACTGGAGGACACAGGAGCTGCACACAGAAAGGAATTGATAGAGGACCTCTGAGAGCAGCTGGGAACACAGCCACCAAGACTGGGACTGGAGCAGAGAGCAGGGAAGCAGACAGAGGGTAAGGAATGAGCAGAGCACACTCACTGCCACATAATGGTCACTCATCCTCCTCCTAGCCCTGTGAGCAGCTCTCAGACAGGCTGGATAGGGAGCCCAGTGAATGTGCTGATAGCGGTGAATGGGGCTGTGTGAGTTCTCCCTGTATTGTATGAGGCCATAGTGCCAGCCCCAGGGTGTCCCTGTGTGCTCTCCATATTTAAATAGCTAGGCTTACTGAAGCTCTATGGGCTGGGGAGGATCAGGACACAAAGAGGCCACCAGGCACTGCTGCTGGTTGCTGAGTTAACCCCCTGTGCATGTCAGTAAGATAGCCATATGAATTACCTCTCACACTGGCCTTCTTCCCCACTGGTGCTCAATGGGTGTATAATTCTGTGATTGGGGTGTGTATGTTTACAGATTTTTACCCTTACAAGTATAGTTTCTGTAAATATAAATTATATGTGGCGTATGTTCCTAGTGGTTCATTACCTAACCCCCCACACCATCACTACCACATGTTGTTGCAGTTATTATTGTGTTGTGCTGTGAATTTTCTGTATGTGTTTTATATAAATCCATATAACAGAGAGGTTAACATATTAAAGACACTGGGTTAAATTATCCTTAGAGGAATCTGATGGTGAAGCCCAGATAAATGGTGATCTAATAGACATACAGCGCTACGGATTTTGCTGGCGCTATATAAATAATAAAATAATAATAATAGAAGGATGTCAGTGCAGTATTTGCTTTAATAGAGTAGCTAGTATCTTCCCCTCTGTGCTTACTGCCCCTATAGACTGTTTATGTGACTGCAGTGCATTTCAGGAATGTAACTGTTAACCTTTAGTGTAAAACACACTTATTAGTGTAAAACACACTGTTGTGTGAGCAATGAGCATAACATTGACTTCATATACTGCATGGTAGAGCTGGACAGATGGGACATTTAATAATTCTTTATTAATTGTATCTATGTTTTAGTAGTTACTATACCATGCAGGATTGTTGCATCACAACATCAGCAGAAACTGATCAGAGCCAAAGGCCATGGTACATAGTAGTTAGATCTGCATTGACAGATGATGGGCCCTGTAGAACATTGGAAATTCTTTGGAATCCAATAGAATTGATTAGTAGTAGTAGTAACAAAATCAGGTAAAGATCATTTGGTACAGAATTGCTTTTTGCTGTTCTGAATGAAAGGAAACTGAACACTTTAGTTCTAGAGCCATATCTTTTTACTTGTTGCTTTTTGTTTCATGTTCTTTTTCACATGATTATATCTCGTCATATGTTGTTGAATTGAGCAGCACTAAGAATGGGCAGGCTGTAAGCACTGTAGAAAACCACAGTAGGCCAGATCCAGGCTGTGTTGGCTTGCTGTGTACATGCTGGCAAAATCAGACTTTTATTAATGGAATTGCAAAACAATAAATTAGATATTCAAGAGACAGAATGCTTAGTGGTGGGCTCACAGTGAAATCCCCAGGTAAGGCGTTACACACCCAAAATGTGACAGGGGATTTCGTGCTGCCAGTGTGCAAATAATTAACAGCAGTTTTGGTGTTTGTGAAATACCCAGTATATTCATTCGGGTACATTTTATACCTTAGACATTGATATGAAAAAAGCAGTATATCAGTTTGTGCTGAGGTCTGCCATGCAATAACACAGTACAAAACAATATGTAAAAATAATCCCCTTTGCTGATTCTGTGCTAAAACACAGTTTCTTGACAGTTGCTAAAATATGTGTTATAAGCCTTAACTCCCTTTACGAGACAGAACCTATAAAGATTCCTTCCATGATATGAAATGCCAAGCATGCACAAACTGTTAGCCCTAACTCCACATCTAGGTTTTCTCAAACAGTACTCAAAAATCAAGAACGGATGTCCAAATGGGTGATCCAAGAAAAAAAATGAATTCTAATGAAGCTTGGATTTCTGGGTAAACAAAGACAACCCCTATGTGTAAACCCCCTCACCCTGTGGCAGACCATGGAGGGAGCATTAGGGCAAATTCACACCTTAAAATCAGGACTATTTAAGTCTGGCCAGCCACAGAGGCTGAATGAATGACCGTCCCCATCACATGCCTGTAGCCATGTTCTATATATGAATCTGTGTCTGTCTGTCACAACACCCCAGACTTGATATTGTTTTGGGTGAAGGGGGGCGGGTTGACCTCTTTACCGCCACTATAACAGGATTAAGTATAGCCCTTAAGAAAAGAAAATGTTATCTGCACAGTAACTAATTTATGTCCTTATAGGATCTCTGTGAGGGCGATTTCTACTTCACTAGCCTATTGTAAAGTGCTAATTAATTTAGCTTATCCTCTGTTAGGAGATGATTTTCTTAATGCCAACACTAATTAACACTGTGCTGCTAAAAATAGACAATAAGCAACGACGCAGGCTAAAAACCTCAATTTTCTATGAAGCATTAAAGGAGAATGAATTATTATATAGGAGTTTGATCCCTTCCGCATGGGTGGTGGGTCATTGATGTGCCAGGCTGTGTTTATTATTATTATTATTATTATTATTATTATTATTATTATTATTTATTTATATATATATATATATATATATATATATATATTTTTTTTTTTTTAATATACTGAATTTCATTTATGGGTACACTGTTTCATGACTTTAATGATTTTGTGTTTCTCAACTCATAGATTGAGCGTTACAGAGATCCCACTGCCAGTTGAAAGTAATGAGTGGTTCCCATACAGCTATTACTCCACTTGCCCCATGCATGGAGGGCTTGCCCCCATTACCAAAGAGCCTAAGCGGTCTGCTGAACTCAAGTGGAGGTTCAGGGTGGCGTGACCTGGAACGAGTTTATGCCCAAAAATCCAGAATCCAAGATGATTTAAGTCGTGGAGGGACAAGTGGCAGCGTTCAGTCCCACCCCAAACCACCTAACCTTGACGCTGCACTGGCTCTTCTCAGGAAAGAGATGGTAAGTTCTGTGTAGGAATACGTTAAGTGGTGAAATACTGCAAATTGTGCATCTGAGAAGTCCTTTCATCATTTGAGTCTATCTAGATCACTGGGGAGGACGGGGGAGGGAACTCTGGAGCTCCAATGTTTTGTTTTTTTGTACAGGATTCCCATTAAACTCAGGCAGTCAGAAGGATTACCTAGCCCATAGTAAACATAACTGCCTAACTGTGATTCAAACTCTTGTCACACACAAAAAAATAAATAAATGAATACCATCAGATTGAATCATCTTTATTGGGAAATGTGTATTTATTTTATTCATACGTTCTGTTACGACATTGCATGTCTCAACCTGATAAATATTTTCTTATTTTTGCAAAATGTTTTTGTATTTTTTTTTTATTTTAAACTTAAAACAAAAGCTGAACTTTAAAGTGTTTTTTTTTTTTTTGTGCTATTTTTACCTGAATTGTGCTAGATCATTATTATTTTCTTATAAATAAACCTGGATGTGTGTATATGTTTCTCTTCTCTAATATATTTTTATTATTAAGATTCACTTGGGTTAAAGGGACACTCAGTGCAACAAAATACTACAACTAACTGAAATGATTAGATAACATACAGAGCCTTGGTGCGTCCCCGGTATAAAGTCAATCCTTTAGAAACAATTTGACATAAATCAAGGCTCATCTTAAATCCCAGAGACGATCCTCTCTTTGGCCACATTGATAATGCAGAACCAAATGTCTGCATTATTAATGGTAATTTATCCAACCTGGATGACATTGATTGACGGAGGCTGCTTAGCCCGGTGCTCTCAGCCAATCGGTCTCATCTCATCCAGGTTGAATGAAATTAATTTTGATAATGAAAAAATGCAGCCAAGGAGGGGACAGAGTATTAGTACCATGAACACCTTCAGTATGTTAAACAACTTGCCTTACACTGAGGAACAGCTCCTGGGCACTCTAGGTAAAGTAACCATTACAGCAAGCTCTAGTGGTTATGTTACTTAGAGTGCCCCTTTAACCCTATCACTATCCAAAGGCTAAGTAAAATACTACAGAACCCAAAGGGTCTTCTATTTCATAAGTAAACACAAAAGACTAAGCATGCCATCCTCATTGCTCTATCCAATAATGACTTTAGGATACTCATTAAAAGTTGACTGTAGGAGGGAGAATTTGTCTGTGTAAGCAGATTGAGACATTGGATGTACTATTTTTACACCAGGCTGCTTGTGCTGGGTTTAAGGACATATGTGCTAACACGTCCATTTATAGAGGAGCGGCACTTTAATTGTGTGCTTCATTCTGTGTCATAGAAACTAGAGAATATTATGATGAGATGGTGATGAAGTTTTAATTGAATGCCATAAAAGTCCTTACGTTGGATTATAGCCTAATTAATTGGTCTCGTTAACTTCACTCTCTCAGTTTGGAAACTCCCAGGGCATGTCCGCTTCATTCTTTGAGCTCTTAGTGCATCCATGTGAGCACCCAAATCCAAATGCCTGAACTGTATATGCAAAGTCACATGGATTTGGTGGGCTCTTACAGAGCTGGTTGGATGTTTGAATCTAATGTCATAACCTGATGATAAATGAGTAGCAAACTCCCTCTTTGGTGCAGACTATGCAAATGATATGTGATGTAGGAGAATCCACATTTTATTTCCTTCTCAAAACCTTAATTTTTAAGAAGGTTTATTGTTCCCTGCTCTACGTGCATTCTATGTGGGTAGACAAAAATAGCTGATTTGGAAAAAATTTCCACAGCCGCTTTAGTCACATGCTGGCTCTATATTTTACAATTTAGTTTTCAACTCGCTTTAATTTGGTGTTCATGTAAATAAATCTAAACCTTTCTGTGTTCTGATTAAGTCTCACACTTTTTTCTTCCTGTGGCAGCATATAATAGCACGAAGACAGAAGCAAATGTCTTGTACCCCATCAAATGGTGCAGAATATAGGAAATCCCCAAAAATGCCAATAAAAGGGTTATTCAAGAAACTGTGAAGTGTCTGTGAATTTAAAATTTTAGGAAAATAGTTAAATTAAAGAAAAATTGTCTATTATGTTGTCAAGTCAAAGCAGTCTGTCTGTTCTGAATGTCTCTGTTAATATAGTCCAAGTTTTACGATTTGGGCTGAGCTTCCTTCCACTATGAAGAAAGAAACCCGACTGTGGATAAAATGAGAGCACTTGAGGGATTGTCTTTATCGGTTTACAGAGCAGTTCCACCTATTCTGCATAATGAGTGAAACTGCTCTTGGAAATAAAGTAGGAGTTTTTGAGATTGCTGCTGCACGCAGACTTGCTAGACAGTGTAGGAAATTAAATTATGCTAAATAATCCCCCACCCCTTAATTTTATTTTTAATTGATCTATTCATACAGTATAAACATAAATAATGGTAGTTTTTAACACCAATATTCGCTTTAGAACAAGAACCTGGTATATCTGCCATAACTAGAAAGAGCAGTAGTGCGGAAATGTAATTTTAATATTCTGCATACCTTGGCTATTGTTAAAGATCCTTTCTCTTAAGTTCCCAGTTTTCACTCTACATGGTGAGAGGGGTTGACCATTTGCCCACTGACAAATGATCAGTCCTATAATTTTAATGGTAGGTGTATTTTAACAGTGAGAGAATAATAGAGGTCAGACTTTTCTTGTAGTTGGCCAGCAGGTTTGCACACTTCTCAGGAGGGATTTTGTCCCACCACTCTTTGCAGGTCCTCTCCAATTCATTAAGGTTTCGAGGCTGACGTTTGGCAGCTCGAACCTTCCGCTCCCTCCACAGATTTTCTATGGGATTAAGGTCTGGAGACTGACTAGGCCACTCCAGAACCTTAATGTGCTTATTTTTGAGCCACTCCTTTGTTGTTTTGGGTCATTGTCATGCTGGAATACCCATCCATGACCCATTTTTAATGCTCTGGCTGAGGGAAGGAGGTTCTCACTTAAGATTTGACAGTACATGGCCCCGTCCATCGTCCCTTTGATGCGGTGCAGTTGTCCTGTCCCCTTAGCAGAAAAACACCCCCAAAGCATAATGTTTCCACCTCCATTTTCGATGGTGGGGGGGTGGTGTTCTTGGGGTCATAGGCAGCATTGCTCCTCCAATGCATGTTGAGTTGATGCTAAAGAGCTCAATTTTGGTCTCTTCTGACCACAACACTTTCACCCAGTTCTCCTCTGAATCATTTAGATGTTCATTGGCAAACTTCAGACAGGCCTGTATATGTGCTTTCTTGCGGGTACTTCAGGATTTCAGTCCTTCACGGCATAGTTTGTTATCAATTGTTTTCTTGGTGACTATGGTCCCACCTGCCTTGAGTTCATTAACAAGATCATCCTGTGTAGTCCTGGGCTGATTCCTCACCGTTCTCATGATCATTGAAACTCTTGCATGGAGCACGAGACCGAGGGAGACTGACCGTTATTTTGGTTTTCTTCCATTTGCGAATAATCACACTAACTGTTGTCACCTTCTCACCAAGCTGCTTGGCAATGGTCTTGTAGCCCATTCCAGCCTTGTGTAGATTGGACAGCTCTTTGGTCTTGGCCATGGTGGAGAGTTTGGAATCTGATTTGCTTCTGTGGGCAGGTGTCTTTTATACAAGTAACGAGCTGAGATTATGAGCACTTTCTTTAAGAGAGTGCTCCTGATCTCAGCTCGACACCTGGGAGACAGAAATCTTGCTGATAGGGTATCAAATACTTATTTTACTCATTGAAATGCGACTCAATTTATAACTTTTTTGACATGTGGTTTTTTTTCTGGATTTTTGTTTTGTTATTCTGTCTCTCACTGTTAAAATACACCTACCTTTTAAAATTATAGACTGATCATCTCTTTGTCAGTGGACAAACGTTCAAAATCAGCAAGGGATCAAATACCTTTTCCCACGGCTCGAGTCCTGCTGGAACTCGTGGGAACAGCGTTCCTGCACTTTTTTTAAGAGCAGGAACACCGTTCCTGTTTGTGGTCCTGCAGGCCCCCTGTTTTCTCCCTGTCATGGGGGGGCCCAAGAAGTGGCCTGATGGACCCCCATGGCGGGCGCCTGTCTCCTCTCTGCTCTCTCGCGCGCTATTTGCTGATGCCGGGTGCCAGGATATGACGTCATATTCCAGCTCCCGGCATAAGTAGACAGCCCACGCGGCAAGAGAGTTCAGAGAGGACACAGCTCCCTCGCCGCGTCTGACAGCGAGACAGGCGCCCGCCGCACTGAAGCCCCACTGGACCCCAGGGACAGGTCCACGCCAGCTCTCCAGGTAGGGAAGCTGGGTGGACATTTTTAAATTCAAAAAACATATATGAATAATTTTTGTGTGTGTGTGTGCATGCGCACGTTTATATATGCATACGAGTGTATTTTTTGGGGGGGATGGAACTTGGGTGAGTTCCCACACCTTATTCCCCAGGACTTGACCCCTGCTTTTCCCCCTCACTATATATTTCGGAAGACATTTAGGCTAGTTTCTTTTTGGTAACAGATGTAGGATATCCATCAACAATGTCACCTAATTGTATATCTGTATCCTTTAGAGTGAGAGAAACACAATGGTATCTCCTGCCGTTGTCCGTGCACTAGTAAAAAATGTGTGGAGAAACTTTTTTTTTTAAATATTAATCCACAACTTTCTGAAAGGAGAAGTACAGATTAACTTTGTGATATTTGCCAGCCAGGGGTGGGGCTGTTTTGTCACAGCCTGGGTTCCTTGGTCTAATCCTGCATGCATAGAGAAAATATTGGCCAACTTTTGTTTAATACAAAATGAGATATGTTGTTTTGCCAGCACGGCTCTTGTCTTGCTGAAATCAAAACATAAGGAACGCACCCTTAAGACTAATAGAGGAGAGGGTTTAGTGTTGCCATAGAATGGTTTGACACTCTGCATTTTTTTCCTTTCTTACAGATTATGTATAAAAAATATATATTTTGACCTTAAATTGTTACAAAGCAAAAGTGATTTAGAATGTTTTGACTGTTGCAAACATGCACTTGGGCTGCATGTGACCTCTAGAATGTAAGCTAATCTGAGCAGGGTCCTCATCAACCTATTGTTCCTGCAATATTTTGCAAGTGTCTCATTTATTGTTACACTTACCCTTTTTATAATATTGTAAAGTTCTGCGGAATAGGTTGGTGCTATATAAATACCAATAATAATTAATGTGACCAAGGCAGAACATTTATATCCATACCGGAACTTTACAAGGGTAGATGTAAGATCTATATATTCAAATAAATGTTTGCTTCCCTAGGCAACATGTAAGTCTTGAAATGTCGCAAAACCACATATTAGCACGTTGCTGCTTCTCCAGGGCAATCTTTCCCTTCTGAGAATCAGTATTTGTGTGAGAGTTATGTTTTTATTGCTGCTGCTGTCCAGATCTATTCAGAATGGAGCCTTTATCCATGTTCCTTTTTTGACATACTATCAATTTACCAGGTAGTTGAGACCAACTACATTTAGGGCAGGAAACACACCTTTTATTCCTGTCATTCCGCGCTTCTTGCCCTTAATTGAATGCAGTGTTAATTTTGTCGACTAACAATTTTAGTTAATTAAATGTTTTGAGATTTAGTCGACTAAAACTAACATTTTTTTTTTTTTTTTTTGTCAAAAGACTGACTAAAACTACATTAAAAAAAATTGCCGCCAATATTAACACTGCATAGATGGGCTGTGGAAGGGGCAAAGAGACAGACCAGGGCTTGGGAGTGAGACACCTAGAGGGGCGGGGAGGACTCAAAGACACTGAGGGTTTGGGGAAGGGGCAAAATAAACAAAGAGAGGCTTGAACTAAAGTAAATAGATAAATTGAAATTGAAACAATTCAGATGAGTAAAATATGACTAAAACAGCTTTTTAGTCAAAAGACTATGACTAAAATGTAATTGAAATTTTACACCAAAATTAACACTGATAGAATGGATTAAATAAATTAATAGATTCTCTTACAGATGCATAGCCCTACACCCATTTAGGTATCAAAATCCACAAAATACTGTCCAGGTTTTTACAAAAATCAAACATGGAAAAATTAGGCAGACAGAAGAATGTAGAAATATATATATATATATATATATATATATATATATATATATATACACACACACACTAAATTACAAGGGTGGGGGGTAATATCAAATAAAGAGCTTGACTTTTTGGATATACATGCAACCAGTCTCTTCAATAGGAGTGCAAAGATTGGACATTGTTTTACCAACTTATGTGAATGTGTTCTGTGTAAATCATCATTTGGTATTGTAGCAATAGAAATATAGACAACATAATCCCAATCTGAAATAGCATTTTAAATTTATTTAAAAAAAAAAAAAAAATCTTGACTTTTCTGTCTGTGTGTGTGTGTGTGTGTGTATATAAATAAAAAATATGGAAAACAAGAAATAATGTAATACATAGTTAATTGCTCAGTGCTTATAAATCATCTGATGTAGTACATGAATACTTATCAAGCGTTGACAGTACAGCTGTGGTGATCATAGCTGGAGCAATATTTATCTTGCGCTTATATTAATATCCTATTTCTATGTTCTTTTTAAGGTCGGGCTTAGGCAGCTGGATATGTCCCTCCTGTGCCAGCTTTATTCCCTATATGAGTCCATCCAGGAATATAAAGGTGCGTGCCAGGCAGCTTCCAGTGCAGACTGCACCTACGCCATGGAAAATGGATTCTTTGATGAAGAGGAGGAATACTATCAAGAAGCTGGTGACCTTCACAAGGGAGTGAGAGACGATTCTGAAGGAAACCTAGCATTAAATGTAGCACAAAACAACGACTGGATACTGGAGAATATTTAACACGGCATATCTGACTTGAGGAAAATTGGGGAAACACACTCTGTTGGTGCCGAAACTTTTTCTTTTTTTTCTTTTTTTCTTGTAATTTTGATTTCTAAGGAACCTTTTTAAGGAAAATGCCGTTTTTGTTCTAAAAACATATGCCTGGCATATTTTCGAAGACTGATCTCCCACGCGTCCACCATGGGTGGTTTATATTGCTACAAGCAATTTAAAAAATAACTTTGTAATCAAGTGCCTTTAACATCCTGCTGCACTTAAACCATTTTCACTGGGAGCACAGACTTTTCAGGACGACATATTTAATATGTGTAAGACTAGAAGTTAGAGGTAGAAATGATCACTTTGGCCAATCCTGTGTAGGTATTGAGTAAAGCTCCAATACAGGTGTAGTTAGATTTGTGTTGCATTCAATTACCTCAAACTATGGAAAGCTTTGTAACGCTAATATATCTAGTGACAATATCATCCAGGCATAGGCAACATTTGTGAAATACCTGTTGTACGTTCCTAGATTGCATGAAAGGGCTCAAACTGATTTTAGAGATTCTTGCCATAAAAAATTGCATTCTACACCCCACCAAAGTTATTAGAAATGTGATTTACGTCATGAGAGTTTGAGGAGTTATCTTAAAGTGACATTACCCTTTCTTTCTAGAAGCAAACGTTAAAATGGTGTTGCCACCTGAATAGTGTAAGATTGGCATGTACCATTACAGATACACTCCATTTTATGTTGACTGCTGTTCAATGCTTTCTGACAGCTGCCTAAACACGGGGTTGGTGAAAGAATGTGCTTGGGCTCTAGTCAATCAGTGCCAGGTTTCCTAGAGGCAACATTCTGGCAATAAGTTTCTCTTATTGATAATGAGAGCGGTATTTGTAATTCGCACATGGCACTTACGGTTGACTATATCAATTTCATAAAAAAGTTATTTACTGCAGAAAGAAATGTTTAATCACAGAAGAGAAAGATGCTTCATACTGAAGTATTGATGGTTGTGTCATGGGATAAAGTTGCCTGTATCATAAAACATACACATAATGTTTTCTTATGTAAATGCTTTTTTTTTTTTTTTAATACAATGGCTCTTTAAATACATTTAAATTTTTAACACTTGTTGAAAACATGGGGTAGGCAAATATCTTGTTATTGTTATGACTCGATCATGTTATTTGACCATAAATGCGTTAAGGGAATAATGTATGTAAAATATTTTTAACATTATCGTCACAATTGAGATCAAATTTAACTTCTAACACTGCATTGATTACCCCCAAGGCACGGGACTAAGGAATGTCAAGACATCTCCATGATGTGTACTGCACCAGGGGCTTGATTATAATTTCACAAACTGGTAGAATTGGCAGTGTTTCGTCTTGTTAGGTACTCTGTAAAAGCATAAATGGTTTTACCAAAAGTTGCAAAACAAGATGTATAAACACATTGTTATTATATACTTTTATTGTCGTCTTATTAGGCTGGCGACTAATTGCAGAGCACTGCTTATACTCATACATATATGCATAGGTAATGCTTATTTTAGACTCATTAATAAATATTCTCTACTAAGGCATTCAAAATAGAATGTACAAAAGGTAGTGTACTTACTTATTCACTGTGTTAAAAGAGCACTCCAACCACCATAATTACATCCCAATGGTGTCTTTCTTAGAGGGGTTAAACAATTTGTCCAAAATATTTCAAATGGCATGTGTTAGCTCAGCCCTTCATACCCCACATCAGTCCTAAGCTTTTTGAGGAAGCTTTGGACTGGATGCAGTTGACACCCAGACCACTCCAATGGGCAGAAGTGGTCTGGGTGCCTGGAGTGTCCCTTTAAGGAGTTAAAGTAACACTTTGGGCCCCATAACAACGTCATCCCAATGAAGAGGTGAGGAGGAGGAGGAGGAGATTGTTTTCCTGGCACTGGAGTTTCCCTTTAAGGACACATGACATGTGTGACATGTTATGATTCACTTTTATTCCAGAAGTTTGGACCTAAGGGGTTGAATATCTGCACTGGTGGGGGCAAATAATGAGGAGCACATATGCGTCAACATATTTCCTAATAGATTGCAAAGAACAAAGGTATAGAACTGCCCCCCCAGATATTGTACTACAGTTCCCATCATTCTTTTGCAGGCTTTCAACAGGCACAAAATTGGAGCTGAAGGCCACAAGTGGACGCTCCCTACATAAGTAAGAAAGGGACAAAAAACAATCCTTCAGCATTTTTTTTTTTTTTTTCTGCATTTCCATTCAAGCAAACTTTTAACTGTTTTTAAAATGTCATTATGCATCCTCCTAAATGATGACTTACTGTGCTCTGTTACAACCATAATATATATAGGAAACATACCATACATTTAGCTTTAGAATTGTTTTTTACTATATTTGTTGCATTGCATTTCACACCAATCTCACACTGTCTTTATTTATAAGTACTCATGGTACTGGGATCAGTAGGAATTTTATTTTTTCTCTCTTTTTTTTTTTTTTTTTCCCCCCATCAAATTTTATATTTTAAACATATCATGTATTTAATTTTACAATTGTTTGACACTTTAATGATCCATCCATATGCTGCTTGCTTTAATTCTTTTTTTTGTTTAATGCACTTTCTCTTGTTTTAGTTTATTGTGCTAGTGTAGCACACATTTTTGATCACTCCACATGTAATATCTACCATATAAATATGTTTCAAATGTTCTATTGAAACATTACATTTTAAGCCAGTACACAGTAGAGGCAAGTATGTTTACTTATGGTTTCATGTACACATTCAGCATTTCTATGAAGTTTGAAAATTTGTACTTTTCTCTTTGTTTTCTTCTTTCTAGTTTGTTTGTTTGTATGTTCATTCAAAATAATGTGTATATGCATATTTATTCAAAAGAAGTGGTCATACATTTTCCTTAATAATAAAAAGGCATTTAGGATTTTATTTTCTTCAGTGATGTATTTTAATACTTTGATCCCCTGCTGTGGGCAAGGGGCAAGGCTTCCTGGGGTGGGGCTTGGTTCTGGGGCAGGAAGAGTGAGGTCTGCACCCTCTCAGGAATTACTCCCTCGCATTTCCAGCATTCTTTAGTGTATCTGAGCACAGTCTCTAGGATTATCCCCACTGAACCACCAGTGACCATAGCCCCCATGCTGGAGAAAGCCATACAGGAGTACAAATATACAGAGCACCACAATACATATTGCATACAGTCAGCAATCATCACAAACGGGGGATGTTGCTAGGTTTCAGAAATACCTGGGGCTTGAGCCCAAAACAAAACCCATACATACATTAATAGAGATGTAGTGATTTGTCATGACTGATCCCTGCATCTCAATTTTATGTCCCCTCCTCTCTACCCATAAATGCTGGGACACTGTAGGCACCCAGACGCCTTCTGCCCATTGTAGTGGTCTGGTGGCCTTGCTCCTCTCCCCTTAGCCCTGTTAGTCAAAACACTGCAGTTTTGGAGAAACCACAGTGTTTTGATTACAGGTATAATGCCACCTCTAGTTGCTGTCTCTCAGACAGCCGCTAGATGGTGCTTCCGTGTTCTTAGAGCACCAAAAGTGTTTTAAATGACGTTCGACATCCCCACACTCCGCATGAGGACGTCAAGCGTTGCCGGAATCCCTCATAGGAAAGCATTGAATAATGTTTTTTTATGGGGAGGTCTAGTGTGCGGCCATCGCCGAGGAGCGTGGGCAGAGCTGAGCCAGCACCGAGGGACATCGGCACTGGACCCAATTAATAACCCCTTCAGTGCTGCTGGAGGGGGCCTTGACAGAAGGGGAAGCTATGGTGCCAGGAAACTGAGTTTGTTTTTCTGGCACTATAGTTTCCCTTTAAACTCTCCAGGATATCAATGATAATGCTGTAACCTGAAGACAAGCACCACCCAGACCCTCCCACCTCCTGGACAGCTCACTAAGAATGCAGATTCACAATGGATGCTGTCCAGGAGGTGGGAGGGTCTGGGAGGGAGGGTCTGCTGCTGATTGGCTGGAATGTGTCTGCTGACTGTGAGGTACAGGGTCAAAGTTGACTCAATGATGACATGGGGGCGGACCGAACAGCGCATATGTTTGCCGTCCGCGGCGAACCGTTCGGGACATCACTAATATATATATATTTATCCACGTGGGTCCAGCACTCACTCTCATGGTCTTGTATTTGCCTGGATGCTTACTTCAGCCAAAATATATAATCTGAGCAAACTGCACTCAGTAGATAGATTTTCAGACTTTTATTGTGCAATTTAATACACCAAAATAGTGTCAATGTTCAGTCCACTGGGGGACTTTTTTCAAGGTCTTGTATAATATAATATATATTACATATGTATAATTTCATAGTTATGTTAGTACTTAAAATATACACAAAGGTGATGTAGCAAATTGGTATCAGGGTTCCTAGCCATTCCTATTTTGGGAGGACCGTCCTAATTTTAGGGTCCTGTCGCAACTTTGTTTCCTGGTCTCCCAGTTTTGGAAACACAAATGAATTGTCCCCAAAAAGTGAAGCATGAGTTCATGACTAGACACGCTCGCACTATGCTTGGGGCACTTGTGTATCCTAAATAAGTCCTCTGTGTATAGTCAGCCCTCGGCGGGCTAGCCTGGATGATTGACAGGCAATCTGGCATGCATTCGCCCTTTTGGAGGCACCTGTGACATGATCCATGTCACCGGTCCTTCACCAGCATCCCGCTTCGATGTTGGCGATATGTTATTACCATTTGTAGGTGTGGCATTGTCATTTCACCATAAAATTCACCTGCTAATGTCAAAGCAAACCTTTAAGGTTTTTTGGCTGCTTTCATGTCAAAGGCAGGTCTTCTAGTGAGAAAGAAGTGGGTTTTTGTTTAGGACTGCCATGACAGTGGAATGTAATCCTTTTTTTTTTTTTCTTTTAAGATGAAAATAACATTACTGAAAAACCTACAAGCAGCTATATTTGGCTCATTTGGTCTAAAATCTCAAATTCAAATTTTTTTGTAAAGAAGTAGTTTGGGATTGTGTGCAGGTAACCTCTTCTCAACGGCAGCCAGGGATGTATCTATTGCAAGGCAAACAAGGCATTTGCATTGGGCGGCAATTTCCTGGGGGCGGCTCAAAAAACACAGCCACCAAATGCCCAGGCTAATGTCTTGTTTGCCTCGTTTTACAGGGGCTTAAGAGCTGGCTGGCCACCTTTGGGCTCCCCTGGGGCAGGCGGCCAGTTGTTTCCCGGGCGGGCGGTGAGGGAGCACTTTCCCCTGAGCTCTCTCTGCTCAGCTCGCTTGCGCAACCCGCAGTGATGCCGGAATATGACCTCAGTCTGGCTCCCGGCATCCCTCTGTGGTGCGCGAGGGAGCTGAACAGAGAGATCCCAGCTCCCTTGCTGAAAACTTAGAGCTCCTGCCCACCTGCAAGTCCGGCTGCCTTCCTGCCCAGCAGCCCCACTGGACCCCACGTGAAAAATCCACCCAGCTATCCCAAAAGTAGGGAGGCTGGGTGGATTTAAATAAATTTTAAAAAATAATTGTGAGTGTAGGGGGAAAATGTGTGAGTGTCAGTGAATGTGAGGAAGTGAATGAGTGTGTGTCAGTGAATTTGAGTGAGTGTGTGTGTTCAATGAATGTGTGTGTAAGTGATTGTGCGTGTCTGTCAGTGAATGTATGCCTCTGTCAGTGTGTCTAAATGATTGTATGTGTGTCAAATCAGTGAGTGTATGTGTGTGTACGTCAGTCAAAATGTGTGTCAGTTAACAGGAAGAGGTGAGGCCATGGCAGGAAGAGGCGGGTACATTTAAATTAGGGGGTGCCCAAGATCTGTCATGCCTAGGACAGCACCATTTCAAAATACACCACTGATGGCAGGAAGTACCTTTTAGACAGGCGGTGCGTATGCACCAGGGCCCACACACTGAAGGGGTCCATGCACTTGGGGCCACCTGATGGGTATGTGTCATCAGAGACCGGGTCATGTGCTTAGCCTCTTGAATAATGGCAGCATTGGGAAGAAGTGAGAGGCAGTCATTCATTCCCACCTAACAGAGTTATGAATACATGTGGGAGGAGAAGGCAGAGAGGCTTGGGGCATGGATTAGGAGACATAGCCCCTAACTACCAGCTACCCTCCTGCAACCAAAATATAGGTAATAAGAGAGTGGCTAAAAATGTGTATGTGTGTGTCTGTGTATCTGCATGTGTGTAAGTGTGTGTATCTGTATGTCTGTGTATCTATATGTGTGTCATTGTTTGTGTCTGTGTATCTGTGTTTATGTCAGTGTTTGTATCTACATGTCGGTGTGTGAACCTGTGTATTAATGTTTGTATCTGTGTGTCTATGTATCTGCATGTGTGTACCTGTGTGTCAGTGTATGTCTGTTTGTTTATGTATCTGCATGTGTGCCATTGTGTGTAAATGTGCATACATCTCAGCAACACTACACAGAAATACACCTCTGCATTCAAACATTCATACTACATACAAACACATCTGTACATTCACTCACACACACTCCATACAAAAACATGTTCATTACTAAACACAGCCCTGCAAATATGGGCAAATGATAGATCTCCAGCTGGCGAAGCATTGCTTTTAAATTCTGTTAACCCTTTCAGTTTTTTATGTATTGGTTCTGGTGTCCATACCCTGTCCTTGCAAGTTTTTTTGCCTAGGTACTTAGACATTCAGACAACCACTAGAAGTGCTTCCTAGTCAAGTGCTACATAGTGTGTAGCACTAGCATTCAGCTCTGCATTAGTGATGTGCGTGGGCAAAAACTTTGGTTCGTTTGGAAATTCGGGTAAGTAAAAAAATTAATCTGCTTTGGCAATTCGGACCAATGGCATTCGGTTGGATCGGTAATTCTGCCTTTCGGCAATTCGTAACTTCAGTAATTCGGACCCTTATCCCTAAACCTAACCCTAACCACTTGTTTTACCACTTTTCGGAAATTCGGCAATTTGAACTTCGAACATTTTTAAGCATCCGAATTTCACGAAATACATCTAATTGCACATGTCTATTCTGTATGGAGGCACTGAAAGTACCTCATAGAGATGCATTGATTCATTAACTGACACTATACTGTTCCTTTAAACCCACCTGCATAATATTGTGTAGGTCCCCCCCTTGTGCTGCCAAAAGAGACTCCACAGGAACTCTGAATGTGTCCTGTGGTGTCTGGCACAAAGACATTAGCAGCAGATCCGAGAAGTCCTTCAGGTTGTGAGGTGGGGCCTCCATGGTTTGGATTTGTTGTTCCTGCACATCCCATAGATGCTCAATCAGATCCAGATCTTGTTGAATTTGGAAAGCAAAGCAACACCTTGAACTCTGTCATGTTCCTCAAACCATTCCCAAACAATTTTTGCAATGTGGTCTGCAGCAAACTGTAGGTAGGTGGTAAGTGTCAAAATAACATTATAGGGAATCTATAGTGTCAGGAAAACAACTTTGCTATAGCTCCCTATAGTGCACCCCTGCCATCGTGCAGAAAGGGTTAAATAAAGCTTCTGTCACTTACCTGAGTCCAGCGCCAGTGTCCCTCGGCGCTGGCTGGGGCTCTGCCTTTGCTCCTAGGCTCCTTTTGCTCTGGGTTGATAAAACTAAACCATTAATTGTTTATTTTATGCTATACAAAGCTAACAACTGCACTAAACCTTCCAGAAAACTTGTGAAATCTTGTACACCGGTATTTTGAAGCAAAAAGGCCATATTGCTTTGGAGGTGGGTATGAGGGCAAAAAGGAGGGGCAAAATTGAAAATATGTAGGTAAAGCAGATATAATAAAAACTGCAAACTAAACTAGACGTTTAACCTAACATGTGACTTGAGAGCCCTTAATAGCATATCTATTTAAAGAGACAGTTGGGAGACAGGGGTGCCAAATAAGAGGGGAACGTTGAGCTGAGCAACTTGTAAATAGAGTGTTCCCATAACGAAGTA